AAAATAAAAAATAGGAATAAAGAATTATATATGCTTACATATATTAGTAAATTATCACTGACCGAAACTTTCATGAGTGAAACATGCAACATACTTTGTCCAGAGAGGCAACAAAGGGACAGCACAGGCCCACTCAAGGAGCGGGCTGCCCATACTCACAGCAAGTAGCCCGCAGTGACAGTCCAAGCGCGCACGAGCCCCTTCAGCCACTGCCTCGTGTGTCCCTGCTCCAGCAATGCTGGCAAGACGACCTGTAGCAGAAGCAGCTCAAGGGACAGTTCACTCACCGGAGCATCACTGGACGATGACAAATGCCATGATTAAAAATGTGAATTGTATTTCCATTTTAACTATATTAAATATTTACCAGAATTAAAATAAAGCATCCAATGAACTCAATGTCACTCTCTCTCAAAACTAGTGAAGGCTTCCTGCTGAACCGCCTAAGGCGCCCTCCCGCCACTAACCATGAAGAGCCAGGGCACTGTGTGGCGGGTGTCACTGGCAACTTTCCTTCCTCCCTGCACAGCTTCCAAGGCCCCTTGTCCTCCTCCGCCTCCTTGACCTGGAAACACCCTGCTCTGCACTCTCCTCCATCTGTGCTCACTCCGAGAGTGTAGCTCGGGAAAGCACCTGCCCAGCACGTTCAATCTCCACTACCACACACACACAGACAAAGTAGTAAATTTGAGGAAGCAATTCAATCTCCTCATTTGGGATCATGACTAATGGAAATCACTACAACAGCGAACATGGGAAGATTAGCTAAGATTAGGTTTCCAAATAACTTAAAGAACTAAACCAAGACAAGTTTTGCCATTTATAAGCCTTGTGATTTTTTTTTTCCCCAGTACCAGGGATTGAACTCAGGCCTTTGTGCTTGCCAGCCAAACACTTATTCTACTGAGTCATCTCCCCAGCCCCATACCCTAATTTTAATCCATAATTACATATATACTTTTGGCTTCATCCTTATGGTGTGCTTTTCAAAATAGAGATGTTATTAACACACTCTTAGAAAAAAGATAAAGCATTTAAATGTGAACAAATGTATTACTTTACAGAAAAACAGATTTCCGCTGGAAAATATACTTATGTGATCTAGATGCTTCCAACAGTTGTAGAAATGAATGTTAACTGTCTACTACAAACAGACTTTACTAACAAATTATCAAATGTATTTGCATGTTTGAACTATATTATACTTTTAGAACTGAGAAAAAAAATACATAAAATAGCTAACAATAAGTATTTGTCTGAAAGAGGAAAAAAAATGTTGAATGCAATCCTAGCAGTGACCAAGTGCTAGGCTACACCTTAGAGCTTACCTGTAGAGCATGACGTTGTAGGGAAGAAAATGAGGCAGCAGACTCTTGATTATCCGTACCGGGAGCCAAAGCATCAGGAGGACAATGGAGCCAAAGACAATCTGCACGCAGTGAGAAGCCAGATACAGCACCCTGTGACAGCCGGCAGCCCTCGGAGCTTCCTCGGCCTGCTCTCAGCGCAGGCCCACGCCACCCGTAGCCCGAGCGACCTCACCCTGCACATCACCCAGAGGCCACTCTTGGAAACTCATAGCCCAAAGGCGACTGCTCCCCTGACCAAAAAGATCTCCCTCTTATTTAGGTCATAAGGGCTAAAGGATAAGCACTGGGTGATGTACAGGACCAGAGTGTGCAAGAGCAGAGTCGCCTACAACTAAGTAAATCTCCTGTAGCCACAAAGACATCAACCAGGTAATGTCTGTAAGAGTTACCAAAAATCTTCAATGCAGATACAATACTGAATTTAGGATTTTATGTTGGAAAAACTTGGATTAATGACATTAATTCTTTCTCCACTACGGAAGAAATTTTGAGATGCAATAGAGTTTAATTTAAATATCAGTTAACAAATCTCAAAACAATGGAAAAATCTGCTTACCACTGACAAAATAAATCTTCGGAGATGCCTATAAATGGGCAAGTGGATCATTTCCTGCACTGGATTGAAATCTGGATCATTTAAATTCCTTAGAAACCATAAGACACCAGGTCGAAGTACCTGCAAATATATTTTAAAAATCATAAATATTCACCAATATCTTCAGGCTCTGTATATAAGCTAAAACAACAGAAAAATAGGCTCCTGAAAAAGTATTTTGCCATTTCAAGCCCAAGATAATTCATGTGGTTTTCATGGAAAAAGACATTTCTAAAAAAGCCTTTATGAAGACTATCTTGGGGAGGGCTGGCCAAACAGCTCAGTGGATTAAAGGGGGGGAGGGTTCGATTCCCGGGCCTGCAGTGATGGCCCCGCCCCCAGGGCCCACTGAAATGGCAACTGAGACTGGGCGTGGGTGTGTACCTGTAATCCCAGCACTTGGGAGGCTGTAAACAGGAGAATCACTAAGAGTCCAATCTAGTAGTGAGACCCTGAACACCCTGTAGATCCTGCCCTAAAACATGCGCGCGCGCACACACACAGACTATCCTGGGGGCTGGCCAGACAGCTCAGCGGACTAAAGCACCTCCTTAGGCAGAGCACAGTGGCCAGGGTTCAATCCCTAGCTTTCCGTGCTGGCCCCAGCCCCGGCCCCAGGGTGCAGTGAGAGGCCACTGAGACTGGGCATGGCGATGTGTACCTATAATCCCAGCGGTTGAGAGGCTAAAAACAGAGGAGAATCACTACGAGTCCAAGCTACAAGTCTGAACTATGTAGTGAGATCCTGTACACCCTGTACCAAATACATTTTAAAAAAAAACTATCCTGGTTTTGACAGTATTTGAGGTTTTTAATATTTTCACTGCCAAAAACATTCCCTTGGTCCAACAGGTCAAAAAAACTTAGATCAGAGCCAGCCAAACAGTTCAGCAGATCAAAGTGCCTGCTTAGGCAGACACAGCGGCCAGAGCTGGATTCCCAGGCTGGGTGCCGGCCCCACCCTGAAGGTGTGCTGAGATGGTGACTGAGACTGGGCAGGGTGGTGAACGCCTGCAATCCCAGTTCTGGGGAGGCTGAATAACAGGCGGATCACTGAGTCGGATCTGCGTAGTGAGACCCTGTAGACCCTGTACTAAAATACAAAAATAAAAAATAACCTAGGTCTAAGATGAAAATTAAAGTCATTACTCAATATCATTTTGCATGCCTTGGTGAAAGGATAATGTTGCAACTTATACACGCCCTAAAAGCAAAATCTAGCTTTGGTTTCACACCTCCCCAGAAGCGTTATCTTAATGAAGAAGCTCCACAGTATCTTCATTGTATTACCTGCATCTCTGGGTGAGGAGTAACGGGCGAGTATGGATACTAGTACTGCCAAGTCCACACCTAGGAGGCAGCCTATCCAAAGCAACAGACCCATCCAAGCCTTACTTCATCTTACAAGAGGCAGTTACAATGCATGATATCTGAGGTTCTAACTCCCAAGTGTGAGGGGTCTTATACCAAGAAAGCCCCATCACGTTAATAAAATTAAAGAAGCCAGGGAGATGGCTCAGTGGAATAAGCACTTCCCTGGCAAACGCAAGGACCTGAGTTCAATCCCCGGGTCTGCAAAAATAAAATACAATAAAATAAAGACTGTAAAACATTTTAGAGTTTACATATTATTGTTTTTAAAAACTCATCACTGGGCTGGGGATATAGCTCAGCAGCATAAACACCTGCCTGGCAAGTTTAAGGTCCTGAGAAAAAGAAAAGAAAAATTACTGAATTTGTTTAGTCTCAAATCATTTTTTTTTTTTTTTTTTTTTTTGTTATTGTTTTATGTATTTAGTATAGGGTCTACAGGGTTTCATTACACAGACTGGACTGGTAGCAATCCTCCTGTCTTCAGCCTCCCAAGCACTGGGATTACAGGAACGTATCACTATGCCCAGTCACCACACACTGGCACGGCATGCCAGGGATTGAACTCAGGTCCCTGAGTCTGCCTAAGCAGGTGTTTTAATCCACTGACCTATCTGGCTGGCCCTTTCACATCATTTTGAAGATAGGACGTGAGCTTATCCTGTGTGATTCAGAAAGTTTCGCGCCATATCTGTCTCTCTCCTCCGATCTTTCAAAGAGCAAAGCACAAAGGAGACCAGCCCTCAGCCTCTGGCTCTATGCTCATTTCTTGGAACTGCCAACCTGTTTCATAGGTAGGTAGGTGCCCAGGCTCAGCAGAGTAAACTGGCTTGTTTGATGACTTTTTCACAAGATTCGTGCTTTGGCTTCTATTACCCAGCATCCAGCAATCCGGCATAGTCTGGCACTGAATTTAAGACACGTTCCTTTTTCTTTTTTGAGACAAGTGTCTCCCTATGCAGTTCAGGCTGGCCTTGAGCCCACTTTGTAGCTCAGGCTGGTCTTGAGCTCCCAATAATCCTCCTGCCTCAGCCTCCCAAATGCTGAGATTACAGGTATGCACTAGTACCCCGGCTTACATCCTTATTAACTGTAAATACAATCTGCTTCATTTGCAAGTCAATAAGGACCAGATTCTGAAAATAGCATTAGGAAGGTTCCCATCTGACACATGAATTAGAATCATAAACACCCTCACTATAATTCTGTACTGAAGATGCCTCTTTCAAAACTGCTATACACATTCAGTTTTATAAAACCATGTATTTTGGGGTTATTTCCAGTATCACATTTCCTTTTCTTTTGGGGTGGGGCTGTGTACCAGGAATCAAACTCAGGACCTTTTGCTAGTCTGGCAGGCACTGTAGTCACAGCATACAAGATTGGAGGTTATTTTAAAAGATGGGACTGTGACATACCAAATAAAGCAAGTACTCATACTTTCTTCCTCAGCATAATCACATTTAACACTCATAACTTGGCAATTTTTGACATAAACAACTAAAACATTAAAGCAACCCAAATTTCACTATCAGTTATTTCTTCTCAAAATAGGAAATCCTCCCAGCCTCTGAGGCACAGTCAAACAAAAGTTCTTTTCCAACATGCACAGCAGCAGCATTTCCCACACGGCTTACCTCTCTGAGCAGCAGAATGAAGGAGGCAAAGTAGAACACATACACCATCCCCACCAGCCAGTGCAGAAACATGGTAGTGCCTGGAGCGGACTGAAAGCTCAGTTCTCGGTCTTTCAGAGTAGCATCAAACATTTCCTAGGCCAACACAGGTCAGATGATCAAGACCTGCACCAACTGCATTTATCTGCCAAATGCACATCTGCACCTCCCAAGAAGTGAGCAAATCATTGCGGAACAAGGTATGATGTTCTAGGACCGCAATTCTCTCAATGCTGTTTCAGTGTTACAGAACTGCATGACATAAGACCAGATACTATCTCAAAGAGGAATACTATATTTTCAATTTTTCAAACAAAGAATGATAAACCATTTGGGGAATAAAAACTTTACCAACACTATTTTATAATACAAGGACCACTGTGACTAAAGATCTGACTTTGTTGGTTAGGATAATGAATTTTCAACTTACCAGGGAGCAGATGTCCAACCACCAGCCACAGATGAGAGGGAACACTCCAATTTCCACCACCACTAGCAAGGAGACCTTAAGTAAAAGTAGAGGGTCAATATCACCCAAATGTAGGAGACACTCTTTCTAGTTTTAATGTATAGTAGGAATTACCTTAACAACAATATAGCAGACTCCCAGTAAGCGACGAGACCTGTGAAATTTAACAAGAGTTGCCAGGCCCTATAGCATCTGGTTAAGGAAAAGGTAAACATTTAAGGCTGCAGTGAAGAGCTAACTACTTAGATTACACTTCTTGTACAAACTTTATTTCACATTTTGTCTATACTCAGCCATAAGAGGAAACGGAGAAAGAAAATAATTTAGTTATTAATGAGAACCACACTATGGAATGAATATAGTATACCCAAGATGACTCATTGAAGGATACATGACAAATTATCAGTGTTATTGCTAAAAGTATATACCCAACTATGGTTGTGATTAAGCCTTCAAAATGAGATGCTTGGACCTAAAAAATAAAATATAACAAAACAAAAATTAACTTTCCTACATGGCATATACCCTAGTTTTATGACTATGCTAACCAACCCTAATGACTGACCTTGAATCATCCAGGCAACATAAAATTAGGTAATACAAAATTAGATGACATCTCTGCAAAACTTGACTATTCTATATGCAGACTGCATTTGTCAATGAGGGATGAAGAAAAATTAAAGAACAACTCTCCCCAAGGCGTCAAAGTAGCAGTAGAGTGAATGAAATTTGATAACTGGAGCACTTTAACCCAGTCAGCCTGCTAGCCCTGCCCTACGGCACACTGCCCCAGCACCCCACCAACGTGAACGCGCGAGCTACCTCGTTCCTCCCATGAGAAGTACATACGTGCATCACTCCTACACTCCAAATCACTTCCATTGACTTATGAAGAATAAGACTTTGGAAAAGACAAACACTGCCACCTATAACTCTTTCGGTTCCTGAGTTTCAGAGAACAAGTGGCAATTATTTATCAAAGCATTTATGTGAACCTTTTAAGTTCTTGCTTGCAACTAACAAGAATCAAAAGGGCTCTGTTAGTAGCAGAACGTTTCTGAACATGCTCTCAGGATTCAGAGGAACAAAGTAAACAGGAGGCAGACAGCCTTCTAGAAGGAAGACCTAATCCTTCCAGAGCCCCAGAAAGGATTAGTAGTGCATACAATATCCACCTCTAGAAAAGGATGATAAAATATCAACACTTAAGCAAATTCTGTTTAAAAACATGTATCCTATCATTGTAAGACAATGTATTCTTTTTCTTAAAAATCATCAATATATTGGGTCAGGGAGATGGCTCAGTGGAATAAGCACTTCCCTGGCAAGCGCAAGGGTCTGAGTTCGATCCCCGGTTCCGCCAAAAAAATAAAAATAAATAAAAAATAAAAATAAAAATCATCAATATATTGTTCCTTTTCTAAATTTACTAAGGGTCACCTGGAAAAAGGGACAGAAGGAAACATGCAAGTTTGTAAAGTAGGTGGGAAATCAGCTGGTGAGAAACTCCTTCAGGCTGTCTCAGGCCCACCCAGTGAGAAAAGAGAGCATTATGGGGCTTCCCAGCACACCTTTGTTAGCTGTGACCTGTTTCACTTTAGCAATTGTGAACTTCAGGAAAAAAAGAACAAGATCACACAGCTAACTGTCCCTTTGCAGAGCCTGAGAAATAAAGTAACTCTGAATATTACGACTTATTCAGAAAGTATCAACTTTGAGTAATTAAGGAAAATAAGTTTGTAAAAGTATTATACTCACATGTTCTTCAAATCCCAAACCAACAAGGGAGAAATGACCAATGTGGTAGGGGCAAAACGCTAAAAGGGAGGGGGGGGGGAAATCAATGAGAACTGCAACATCGAAACAATGAACAGCCCCTGCACGACTGACCGACCGACCGACCAACGTCCCACAAAAAGGAACCAGGGCTTGTTTAGAAATATAAGATTCAAAACTGGGCCAAAAATGTGCTACACCTGGCACATTTTCTCTAACCTCAGAATAATAAAGCTATATATAACCCTAACAGGTCTATGTCAAGAGGACATGAAGGGAAGACGACACAAGGGCTGGGGACACAGCTACCCGTAGAGCACCTGCCTTGCATGCACACGGCCCACGTTGGGTCTGAAGTGAGCCGGAAAGGAGGGTGTGTGTGTGTGTGTGTGTGTGTGTGTGTGTGTGTGTGATCTGAGCATCACAAGAAACTAATGATGAAAACTACAAGCATCACACCGAACACATACGAACCTCAAAACAGAAAAACTTTCTGCTCAAAAACAGAAAGTCTCAAATAACCGGAAAAGAAAAACACAGCAACATTACAGGAAACATTTTTATGTCTTAGAAGTAATTATACAGCAACGGAATGCATCAATTTCTTATTCTGAAAACTGACAAAGGAAAAACACTGAGCACCTGTCTGCCTTCTCCTGAGCAAAGAAAATTCTTCTTTCAAGAAAAGCCAGCCAATAAACATAAAACGTGACCGACTGTGCGGTCGTAATTTCTCAACACCTAGTACATGAGCCAGGCAAGGATCACTGAGGGGCACTAAAGTCATGAGTGAAAGAATGGAGGCCACTGTAATTTGCATGGTACTATAGCAGCACCCCACAGATTATTTTTTTTCTTTCTTCTTTTCTTTTAAAAATGGTACTGGGGATTGAACTTGGGACCCTGCACAACTTTCTCATGGTAAAAGGAGAAAAAACCTAGGAAGAAGGGTTTAGGCTGGTTCACTGATAAAAAAGGATGAGCCAACATCACACACTTTCTGTCACATCTGTGTCAAAATGTGAAGTGACAAATGTGTCACAAATAAATTGAACTTGGGATCTAACTGAGCCCTTCAATACAATGACCTTCAGAGATACAGGAAGAGGATGGCAGACACCCAGGAGGCGGATGGGTGGATAGACTATCAAGTGGGACATGTGACCTAACTCATTAATTAATTAATGGCAAAATGGGTGCAGCATAGGGGCAAAGTGAGTATTCCAGACTAAAACTAATGTAAGACTTATTTTAAAAATGTGTGGGGGCCAGGGAGTTGGCTCAGTAGAATAAGTGCTTCCCTGGCAGGCACAAGGGCCTGAGTTCAATCCCTGGTTCCACCAAAAAAAGAAAAAAAAAGAATAAATAAATAAATAAATAAATGTGTGGACTGAAAAAGAAAAAAAAGGTGTGGACTAAATAAATAAATGATGATGACGACGACAATGTGGACCTTATTTGGGTCTTCATCCAGACCAAGCAACCGTAAAATGTCATGTAAAGGGAAGACTTAGGGACTTTAAATATAATTCTGATAATTTAAATAAACTCTGATAATTTTGTAAGATGTAAAAATGGCACTATAATTTAGAAAATTTTTTAAGTCACCTTAAATTTTTCACAAAAAGAATTTTTATAATCTTTTCCTCAAGTCTTTCATATCAGCCTTTCTTAAGTTTTACTGTTAACACAATTTAATTTTTATATTAAAATTGATTGATTTTATAGAAATTATAAGGGGAGTGGGGGACTCAATCATTAAGACAAAAACCACAGTGAATCTACTAGGACTGGCCCACAAACCAGCACTGTATGTTTCTTAATATTCCTGGCTTACAAATAGAACAAAAGTCTAAAACACAGCACCTAGAAAACCAAACTTCTATCATAACATCATAAAAAATAAAATTATAAAAACTTACCAAAAACAAGAATGAACAATGTATTTAAAGACACCACCCAGAAGACATGCTCCTAAAGACAAAGGTCATTATTAATAAAACATAGCTCATACTCAACATATTTGACTACTCATTTTATTTAACGATAGCTTAGGTATTAAAAATAGCTCAAACTGTCATTTTCTCTCCATGAGCAATCTATTTGGTATGCTTCTAAGAAGCTATTCCTATTCTCATTCCTTTTTCACAAAACACTTTCCTACTCTTAACCTCTGTTATTCCTTAGACTTCAACTCTGGAGAACAGGAACTCAGCGGATCTGACATGTAGCAGGCTGGAGGTTATTTTTCTGCTGTATCTCCTTGGAGGTTCCACCAAGATCTTCAGAAACAAGTACAAGTTTGCTTTTGTTTCACTACATCCCTAAGTATTTCAACTGGACTCTTGATTGTGACACATTTAGGTAACTGAAATTGTCATCCTGTTTCTCAGCCATTCATAGCGTCTCTTTTTATTAAAATGGTGATAGATTTGAGAGGATGGGGAAGTTAAGATGTTTTTCTGTTTTTTTGATAGGATATTTTTTCAGGTGGGGTCTTACATCCCTGTTTTTATTCAGACTTACTAGTTCCTGAATTTATTTGTATTCCTTTGCTTGACTTGTTTGATGGCTACAAGATGGCTTATCTTATTTTAGACAGTAGTGCTGGGGAAAGGTAATGCTGGACTCTCCTAGTAGACTTCAACACTAACCAAAAATGTGAATTTGTAAAATGGACTTATCTAGGAAATACAATCTTTATTTGTCCCTTACAGAATTCTAGGTAACAGTGGTTACTCTGCCAGCTAGTGAACTGTTCTTAGAACACATGCCACTCTTGAAGCAGGGGACAGGTTTCCCCCGTGCCCTCTGGTCAGTCCTCACTGAAGCCAGCTGGATTCCTTTCTCGAGAAGATTTCTGGCTGTGTGGAACCAGTCAAAGTTAGGCCAACGAAGGGGGGAGAGTGGGGGCAACTCCCCAGTAGAAGCTGGGTCCCAACAGCCAGACTAGGAACTAGCAGAGAAATCTCCACTCCTCTATCATTCCACCTGCAGTCCTCAGTGATGTGAGAGGTACAACTCAGTGATCTGTCATCCTCCATCTCAGAGCAACCGAAGATGACACTGTCAGAACACTCTCATAAATCTCCATGGAGAGCTGAGCTCCAGATTTGGGCTGCACTCTCTCTGGCTAGTAAGACACACTGGTCTTCAGACATGCCTTGACATATTTATTCATGGAGAGACCTGTGAGAACAGCAACCCTAGAGTTTCGCTAGAATGAAGGCGTATGTGGAGAGAACTGCCCCCACGCCCTAGCTTTTCTTTTCATTCCAACTCTCTGGTGTTAGTTTTGGAACTCCTTAGCTTACTGACCAACTGCTTTTAACATGGGAGAACAGCTATCAGAGGACAGATTTATACTTTTTTTTTTTTTTTTAGGATGGGTGGGGAGATTCTTTTTTTTCAAGAAGAATCTAATGTATTTTATTTTATTTTTTTAAGATTTTATTTTATTGAGAAACAAATAGCGATGAGACCGTTTCAAAACTGATTAATAGGACATTTTCAGTAATTAACACATTGTACATTGTTATCTTCTCAGTGGTTATCCACAGTACAAGATACAGACAGGATATCCTGTCCAAGCACTATTAGTACAAACCTTTCTCATTAAGGAAAAGTAGGTGTATATCTATCCTAACTACTCTGGGGCCAGGGAGATGACTCAGTAGGATAAGCGCTGGACTGGCAAACGCAAGGATCTCAGTTCAATCCCCGGTTCCGGAAAAAAAAAAAAAGATGTGCCTAACTATTCTGTATCTACAGATAAAGAATGGTCCTTCCTTTCTAACTCTTTTGTTTGGTCCTGTCAGAGATGGGTATTCCACTGGCATCTAAATACTATAGGTGCGTGAATTCAGCAAAACCATCCAACACAGTCCAGCAGTCCACAATATATACTTGTGCCTTATATACTAATAACTAAGGGTAAAAAAAGTTTTAGCCTTTTTCTTGTCAAATGAGAGAAGAAAATCAGCAAATTCTAAATTCTTCTAACATGTACTTTGTGACTGCTAGACAATGGGTACAGACTTTACTCTGTGAGTTTAAGTATATTACAGTTTGCCTTAAAATATAAAAAAATGACTAACAAAATGCTTCAATTTTTTCAGCTTCCTTGCCTAAAAAGCACCCAAACTTTCCCTCTCTCCAAGATTTTATCTTCTATACCTCAACATCTAATTAATTATTTTTTAAAATGTCTTGCTGTCAACTTCCTCCACCGAAAAAGACCTGACCAAAGCCTCTTCCGTGACCCTCCTGACCCAGGTACATGTTCTGTGTTGCTGAGCCTTTAACACACACCTCTCAACTTCTCGATTCGCATTTTCATTTCTCTCTACTGAATTAAAAAGGATCTTTGAGAACAGGACCCTGTTTTATTCACTCTCAACCACCCAGTAGGTATACCAAATAGCAGTACTAAGTATATATTAAATATGAAGGAATGAAGTCATTCTGCAAATGGTCTTTCCAATCTGAATAAATTTTGGGCAAAAAACACAGCCTCAACAACTTCTGTAGTTCACTTATGAAACACACAAATCCCTTGGTTTACAAACCTCAGCAGTCTCTCAAATACAAAGGGATTAAAATAAGTATGTCACCTAACAATACCTTTTCTGCCCACTTATCAAACCTTAACTAGAAACTCAATGATACCACATTCCCACTCAACTGTGCTTAACAGACACACATACCACACACAAAGTCCTCAACTGCTAACTCCAACATCCTCTCGGGCACCCACAAGCACCTAGCCCCTGAAGAGTCCATCACTGCGGACAGCGAAAAAGACAGACGGAAATTATCGGGGTCTGTGTCAGGCCTCCAGATCAACCCCCATCTCATCCTTCGTCTGGGCTTCCTATTACACTAATGCTTCAGTCAGTGGGAGTTGTGTACTCCTAAGTTCCTTTAAAAAGCCCAAACAGCAACAATTTTGTATTACACAGCATGAAAATACCATTCCTCCTTTAAAAAACAAGTTCTTCAAGTTGTGATCCTTATTAATAAGGCACAGTTCCTGGGTCAAGAAGGGTGGGAGAGTACCCAGAAATCTAAGATCAGACTGCAGCTCTTACTGTGAAGATCACGAAGCCGCTCTGCTTACAACATGACAGCTTTTAAGACTAAATTATAAAAATCAAATTATTTTAACTACCACTAATGTTGAGCTTCATTTTCTTTGTACAGGGTTGCACTGTGCAGATCGGACTCATAGGGATCCTCCTGCTTTCAGCATCCCTAGTGATGGAATTATAGGCATGTGGCACCACACCCAACTCAGCGTGCCTGGGGATGGGGCTGGCATGACATACGGCACCAGGGATTGGACCCCAGTTCCTGAGTGTGCCTAAGCAGGCACTTAGTCCACTGAGCTATCTCACTGGCCCTGGGCTTCATTAAAAAAAAAAAAATTCTTCCAGTATTTTCAACATAGAAAATACATTTCCTTCACATATGAAGTATTTAAAAGCAGGGATATATTGACATTTAGCATAAAAAGGAAACACTGTAAATCTGACATTACTGAGTAAGAAAACTACTTCCCAGCAATTATTAAAATAACTAGTTTTCCCTGCTAGGGTGTCTGCACTGGCTGCAATTCTGCCCGTTTCTATCCCTTCCCCCAAATCAAGCCCTCATTCTGGTCCCCAGCGCTGCCAATGGGAGTAGCTGGGAATAGGATTTGGGGTTTGGGTAGCCCTGGGGCCTGCCCCATGGAGAACTCCTCAGACCAGTCATTTCAGGTATTAGGAAGGTAGAGCTAGGCGTCACCCACTCATGGAGCCTGACTCCCAACTGAAGTGCGTAAGATTGAGCTTCATCTGCAAGGCCAGCAGCTTGGTCAACACCCTCCAGGCTGTAGAGGAGGTGCTGATGCATCGTGGGTGTAGCAGGCTGCGGGCGAGTGGGACCACAGTTTGGGGTATGCAGTGGGCCATGCAGAATATTTCAGTGGTCACGGTCCTGACCCACTTAATATTAGTAGTAACTCCAGTGGTGGGATAACTGAAATCAAGACCCTGTTCACACTTTTTAAATGACGGGGGGGGGGGGGGATTACTGTGGGGTGTGGGACTGTCCCTGGTAGTCATAGGACTTTGCTAGTCCCAACTGGTGTGTAGGTAAAATCCTAACTGCCACCCAGGAGGACTGGGCTGATATCCACGGCACCAATAATACTCTCAGCAAGGCCCTTTCAAGGATGGCTGTGTGGACAAACTCCTTCACTAATCCCTAGAATCTACAAAATTGGCATTGTCAGCTGGTAGGAGCTGGAGCCAGCAGACCGACCGTTGCCTGGCATGCTGTGCTTTACTACACTTTCTAAATGTTCATTAAAAAGGTATGCTGAATTGAAAAGAATAATTAGGTTTACTTACAAGAAAAACTAGTGATCCATCAAGTCCTAGCATCTAAAAATAAATAACAAGAGGCATTAGTACAAGATGCAACATGAGCTACTTTTACAAAAAAGGTCTGCTTTCCTTTCAGTGTCTGATGTTTCATCTTTGTTGTTGGAAATTCAACACAAGGCCTTCTGCACACCAGGGAAGCATTCTACCACTGAGCTACACACACCCTCAGCTCATCTCTACCACAGTTCTAATCCACTACTATTACTGTCAAAGTCTAAACTAATTTCTGTTCATGGGAGCTTTATGTTTTGGGTCTCCTTTTGTGTGTGTGTGTGTGTGTGTGCGTGCGCACGCACATTTTTTGAGACAGGGTCTTGCTATGCTGTTCAGGCTAGTCTTGAACTCAACACAATCGATCCTCTTGTCCCACCATGTCCAGCAAGATCTCTTTTTTGAAACTGGGCCTCATTATGTTGCCAGGCTTGCCTCAAACTCACGACTCTCCTGCCTCAGCCTGGGAATACAGGCATGCGTCATAACCGCCTTCCAGCCTCTTTTTATTCCTAAGTGATTATACAATCTTAATGAATTTCACATTAGGTTCAATTATTTTTTCCCTGGTATTGGGGATCAAACTCAGGACCTTGTGCTTGCTAGGCAGGTACTTATGCTGCTAAGCTATTTCCCCAGCCCAGTTTCAATTCTTACATTTTCAAGTAAAACACTGCTTAAATGAAACAAGGTTTGTATTAAAGGTCAGAAAACAGAAAAATAGCCATCAGTATCATTTTTAAAATCATAAACAGGACATATAATTTTCTGTAGAAATTAAATTCTGAGACTGGGGATATAGCTCAGCAGCACAACACCTGGCTGGCAAGCACAAGCCTAAATTCAATTCCTGGAATACTTTTTTTTTTTTTTTTGCGGTACCAGGGTTTGAACTCAGGACCTTGTGCTAACTATTTTCATCAGATGTAACTAATAAAAGTAATGTATACAATTAAAGATGCCCAATCTTAAATTCAGGACACTCACTCGTTCCCATGTAAGCTCTTCTGCAGCTCGGTCCCATTCCAAAGCATTCCAGTTCATGTCATCTGGAGACGTAATTTCATGTTAAAGATTACTAATGGAACTAAAATATAATGATGAAGTGTAGTCTACTTGAATAATGGACCGTTGAGAAGCTAAGCCATATTTAGAATTTTCCCACTGGTTAGGCAATAAACACTACAGATAAGTACATACCTATAAACAAAATACATAAAGTATAGTGATGTTGAACTGCAGTGAGCACTAGAAAGCAAAAAGTATGTGATGGAGAGGAATTCAACAGCTCTGGGTCAGACATTAATCTGGTGGATTTAAGAAGACAGAAATTAGTCCTAGAACTTTCTGAGCGATGAGGCAGTGGAAGATAAAGTATGAAAGGCAGCTAGAGACTGCATCATGTAAGGAACTTGGCCTTTGGGTTTCATTTTATTTTTTAATAAAGTAGAAAAATCACTGAAAACTTTCAAAGCATGAACCGTGTGAAGCAAGAATGCAACAAAAACAACATTACAACAAGCAACGATGATGACCTGGCAGGAGGATGGCAGCAGCCGGTAGGGCTCAGGGGCTGGGCTGCTTCCCTTGGAGGTGCGCTATGCCCATTACACTGCCTGTTCCTTTTAATCTTTCGGGTCTCAACTCAAACACCTCTTATGCTGAGCTTCCCAGAAAGTCTAATTTAAAATTCTGTCACCTTCAGAGCAAGCTATACAACATGCCCAAATGGGTATGTCCTGCTTCTTCCCTAGCCCAGAAAGCCCATGAAGGCGGGACCTGGTATGCTGCCTATAGTGACATACTGAGTGTGTCAGGCAGGGCATGCATGCTCACAAAGTGTCAAGTGGACCCAGGGACAATGCAGCTCTCCACAGGTAAACTACGGTAGCAGGAAGGAGAGAAGATGGCGCCTCTGAGAGCCAACTGTCAGATCCCACCTTGGATGTTACCTTACATTCTACAATTTACACAGCTAGAAAGTTAAAAACTGGTTTCTGTAGGTGGCACCTTGCTGCCCATAGATCTCAAGAATGCCTTTTCAGCTGTAAAAATTGAACTAACTCAACAGAGACATAAAGATAAAAGCAAGTAAGGTAAATCTGTACCTAACTCTTTAAAAAAAAAAAAAAAAAAAAAGATATATTCCAACTTAATTTCTTCCACTCATTCTATAAAATGGAGTAAAGGGTAAGACCCAAAATGTTCTTGCTTCATAGAAAAATAATATATATATATATATACCTATATCCATAAAAGGCAGTTTGCAAAAGTAAGGTAAAAATACCTACAGAATGTTTTGGGGGGTACTGCGGATCTGGCACTGTGCTTGCCAGGGAGGTGCTTATGCCACTCAGCTATCTCCCCGGCCCTTTACAGAACTTTTAAACCCTAAAATTTGAGAAGGCTAATAGTCCTTTTATCTTCAGTGCAGCTGCATGCGGACTCAGAGTCTAGAAAGCAGCAGCTCTCACCCTGGGCACCATTATTAGCATCCGCCGCATCCTCCACGCCAGCGTCATCGTCCTCCTCGTTGTCCTCCTCCTCCTCCTCCTCCGCCTGCTCATCCTGCACGGCCGGGTTCTCCCCCACCACTGCATCCTCAGCAGGGGGGTCCGCAGGCTGTTCGGCAGCAGCATTTTCTACACCATTTCCTCCTACTGGAGCCTGAAACGACAGAAGAGCCAGGAATTTAGCTCACTTGTCACACTATTTCCAAATCATACTCACCACGCTAGGGGAAAAAAAGACAGTGAACACAAATTCAACTAAGATCCAGAAATAGGCATCTTTCAGAGTTATCTCTTCTTCAAAGTCATTTTCTCAAAACATACTTGATTTGGTTATCAACTTGGTATACAAAAGCCTAGTTTTGCAGAGCAAAAAGAAAACCCATGAGCTGAGAAAGCAGCCAACTGTCCTTCTGACAAAGGCCTTCTATCTAGAATATATAAAGAATTAAGAGGGCCGGCAAGGTAGCTCAGTGGTCTTAGAGCGCCTGCTCAGGTAAGGTTAGGCAAACACAAAGGGACCACAGTTTGATCCCTAGCACAAGCCATGGGAGCCCCGCCACCAGGGCACCAGGGTGGGCTAAACCGGCCACACAGACACCCCCCCCCCAAAAAAAAAGAAATCAGGAAAAAAAGAAACCAGGTCTCCAAAATTCAAAAACCCAATCCAAAATGGGCATCCGAGATGAGTATATACTTCTCAAATGAAGAAACACAAATGGAAAATAAATATGGAAAAAAAAAATGCTCAACATCATTGGTCATTCAAGAAACGCAAATTAAAACAACACTGAGACTCCACTGTACTCCAGAAAGAATGGCCATCATCAAGAAGTCAACAAATAACAAGAGCTGAAGGGATACGGGGATAAAGAACCCTTCTCTGCTACTGGTAGAAGTCAGTATGGAGATTCAAAAAACCAGGATTAGGGGGCCTGCCAGTTAGCTCAGCTGTTGAAGCGCCTGCTCATGCAAACACAGTCAGACGCAGGATACCGCAGTTTGATCCCCAGCTCCACCTGACTGATCAGACCCGTCCTTAAGGCAGCCTGAGCCAGCCCCCCTGAAAAAAAATCCTTCTCGACTTTATGCAAAAAACTAGACTGGAGGGCCTATTCAAGCCAGCTATTCCCCTCCTAGGTATTTTTCCAAAAGAACTGAAAACATCATACCGCAGCGATATATGTGCACCCATGTTTACAGCAGCGCTATTTGTCATAGCTAAATCTTGGAAACAACTCAAACACCCATCAACTGAGGAATGGATAAAGAAGATGTAGTATTTTTACACAATGAAGTATTATTCAGCTATAAAAAAGGATAAATTTGAGGATTTTATAGCTAAATAGATGCAACTAGAGATCATACTGTTTTAAGTGAAATAAGTCAGACCCGTATGTGCAAATATGTATTGTCTCCTTAATGTAAGAACCCGAGAGAAAATCAGGGGTACAATAGGTACTGTGAAAAGGAACTGAACCTGCTCAAAAAGAAGGAATTACTGAGATGAGAAGAATAGGTGTGGGAATGGGGAGAAAGGGATATGTGGGTAAGCAGGATGGTTTGGATAATGGTACTGTGGATTTCCGCTAGTCTGGGAAAAGAGCAGTTAATGTTTATCTTCTTATTTCAATTTTGTTTTCCTTTTTCTCCTTAATTTCTTATAACTTTTTTCTCTTTTTTTTCTTTCCTCTTCCCATTTTGCATTCACATACCTGTTAATCTGAACAAATAATTGGAAGACAACACTAAGCAATACGACAAATACTGTCAAATTCATCTTCTTTTGTGTGTGAAACTCTGTACCACTTGTATCATTTTCTGTTTCAATATTATTTTGCACTGTCCTTAAATAAAAGAAGAGCACAGGCTTCCTTTACCATGTGTTCACTGAGTTTCAAACAGGGTAAGATTTCGCAAAGCATTATAGAAAGTGGGTTTACAAATCTGGCTATCTTTAATTCTTCATCTGTCTTTTTATTTTTTTTTTATTTTATTTTTTTTTTTTTTCATCTGTCTTTTTAATACAGCATCTCTTATTTTTACTGACTTAAGGATGGGAAGAAACCACATTTTTAGAAAAATTATTTATATGTATATAAAACTTAACTCTCTATTGTCACTGAAACACTTAAAATGGCTTCTTGTTACAGCTCTGTCAGTTCCCAAATGCAGTCTGCTCCAGTTCTTCCTAAATTCTGCTACTTAGAAAATGCAAAGACATATAAAGCACAGAACCATACATTCATGAGGGTCTTAAAACACTGCTGCATTAATGCTTGCAAAGGAGACACAATGATAAAGTATTAATCTTAGATGAGAATGGTGCCCTTTCTTTATAACCTGTTGTCTATGTACATTTTTTTAAAGCAATTGAACTCTGGGGACCAGGCAGATGGCTCAGTAGAATAAGCACTTGCCTGGCCAAGTGCAAGGGCCTGAGTTTAATCCCCGGTTCTGCCAAAAAAAAAAAAAGAGAAGAAGAAGAAGTTGAAGTCTGTAAAGAAGCAGCCATGTATTTTGATGAAATCAATCTGTACACTAAAAAAAAAACCACAAAGTCCTCAAAACAAAAAGTTATTATCGTTACTTTGTGGGCAGTTTTCTCATAATAAAATTTTGTTTTGTTTTGTTTCTGGTACCAGGGATTTAACTCAGGACTTTACTGAGCTATCTCCCTGGACTCAAAAGTTTTCATTCTAGAAAGTAACTAATTTATGGAATTTTCAGGGCCATAATTTATCAGGAAACAAAATACTAAACATTTTATTTTCTTCCTCTTCTCAGTACCTCTAGTAAATTCCCTTTTGTCTAAGACTGTCATCGCTCAAACAGAAAAAACAACAGCTGGTACCCAATTTCTCTACTTTTGGTCTTATTTCTTCTTGATAGGAAAAGCAAAATGATGAAAAGGCATGTCTTCCTTCAGTGTTGAAGAGTATGTGAAAAATTTTGGAAAACTGTCCCTTAGTTTCCAAACCCATGTTAAGCAGTTCATTCAAGCAAAGAGAATGAAAGAGTATTTTAGTACATGCTCTATCAGTGTTCCTGACCCCGTAGGAAAATTCATAAGGCAAAGTCACAAAAGCATGTCTAAGATTTTTCACATTTGTCTTAATTCTCCCGCTATGTCCTTTAAAATGGCCAAAGACCCAGCAATCAGTTTGGATAGGATGACTACAAGTTTGAGACCATCCTTGGCAACTTAGGGAGCCCCTATTAAAAAAATAAAAAGTAAAAGCAGGCTAGGTATGTGGGTCAGTGCAAGGTGCCAAGTTCAATCCCCACAACCGTGCAAGTAAAAAAAGAAAAAGGCCCCAAAATATTTATGAAGCATATACGGTAGACTTAGACCTTAGAGGGTAAAATAGTAACTTTCACATCCTAAGTAAGGCAGATTTCAGAGCCAGCAGCCATCACCTCATTCTGGTGGGGCCCTGCAGCATTGAAGGGCGGCGCGGCATGCTCCAACCAGATCGGGGCTCCCCCGTGGACAATCTGCTCCCGCAGCCACACCAGGCTGATGAATGCACACAGTGTGCATGTCACCACGAAACAGCCCTGCAAACAATCCGCCAGCAAGTTTTCCCTGTTTAAACAAACACACACACAGATGGTAACTCTAAGAACAATCATAAAAAGTCAGAAAAACAAATTGCAATTTTGGGGAGAAAATCAGTTTCTCCACTAGAATTATCATATTAAGCATAAAGGAACGTCAACACTACACAACTATTAACGATCTCTTCACAACCTATCCCTTAATATGGTCAAGAAGCAAGAAGGTACCAAGTAAAAAAGCAGCCAAAACTTGACAAAGACCAAGCATTAAATTTATAGAATTTACTAACAGTAAGTAGCTCTCTCTAATGCTTAAGAATTTTATTGTTCTTTTCCATAAAATTTTTTAAATGCACTCAGAAAAAAGTAAATAAAATGTAGTGTGATTTCAGAATACATTAACTCAAAAATCTTGGTAGGCTTTTAAAATGTACCATTTTAAAGGAATGACTTCTTACTGCAGGGAAAAGGAAGGGTCAACCTGGAAGATCTCAGCCTAGCAGCTGCAAACCTAAACTGAACTTGTGTGGTGGCCCTAAGTTAAAAGGGAATCCTGGGGGCCGGGGAGATGGCTCAGTGGAATAAGCGCTTCCCTGGCAAGCGCAAGGGTCTGAGTTCAATCCCCAGTTCCAAAAAAAAAAAAAAAAGGAATCCTAAACACTCCTTCCTAAGGAATGCTTCAGACAACAAAATTTTGATGGGTTAGGGCTAAAAGTTACCTTATTCTCCTTTGTCATCAGCAATGAGAACAAATGCTTAACTGGTTGTATTTTAGATACTTTAAATGGTAACTTACTCTACAGCCCTCCTTTTTATGCTTCATCTGGGGCTGGTGTTATGTACTGCCTGGACCAGAGCTGCTGTCAAGTTCCAGGGTACGGATGGGGCAGGGCTCATGAGCTTCCTCTCTCACCCTTCGAAGATGCTGACTAAAACCACTGTGTAAGAGCACTCTCCTCAGCCTGGTGGAAGATGAGAGGTGGGGGGGAACTAAGGCAGCTCAGCTAAGCCCCACGGAGACTCATAAGACCCTCTAGGGTTCCTCTCCTGACTAGAAATAGCTAATGAAAACAATGAAGATGGCCCTTCTGCCAATCAACTCGGCGCAAAGGGGCATCAGCCAACCATGACAAGCAACAACGTGTCAAAATGTGGTAAAATGACTACATGGACAGGTGTTTAGGATATGTTTTCTTACAACCTCAAAATATACTTTAAAATTTATCTTAGCATATGAACACATCACACACCTCGAACTTCATTATAGCCTGTTTAACAACTCATCCCATCATTACAAAACAGTCCTTTAATTGGTATATATATATTTTTTAAAAAGTCATTAATCTATGTTAGCTACTTCTGCTATCCTAGGTGTAACTGTTAGGATAAGAAACATCAACTACTGTCCTTGGAACAAAATAATTTTCAAATATGATGACGCATCACTTTCATCATCACTCAGCGCAGTACTCACGTGGACAGCATGTCCAGTGGCAGTGTCAGTAGTGAGCTCACGGAGCCAGTAAACAAGCACTTGTAGATGCGGCCTATGGAAAGGGTATGATGGCAAAGTCACAACTAGCATCGTCAACTCTGTCCCTCCACAGAGCAGCAGTGAAACCATAGAGGCCACAGAAATCAACGCTTTAAGTTTGAGTCTCAAAGTATTTCTACAAACACTGCCAAGCATAAAAAAAGGCAGCATAAAAACGTTACGTAACAGTGTTTAGTGTATATATTCTCTCTAGATTTGCTTTTACTAAATGCATACTGTTTTTTCTCTTCGTCTAAAGAATTTATGCAAATAAACCAATTTTTCCTTCGTTTCTATTCTCTCCTCAATTTCTCCCAATATATTCATCTGAAATTTTAGCACCAGCCTATCGTCTAAAAATTCTTCATTATTATTGCAGGTTAACAGTCATTGAGCTTAGCCATAAAGGATTATTTCTGTGAATTTGACATCTTTCTCTAATTCCCTGCTCATTTAGTAAAGTATTTTCTCAGTTTCATAAAAAGTTCATAGCAGTGAGCTTTCTGAATCCTTATGACAAAGCAAATGTCTGTATTTTCTTCTTCCACCTGGGATAATTTTCAGGACAGGAATTAGTTTCAAAACTGCTGTCAAAGTCAGACATGGTGGCATACACATGTAATCTTAGCTATTGGGGAAGCTAAAGCAGGAAAATTACACAGAAGTTCAAGGCCAGCCTCAGCAACTTAGTAAGACTGGTTTCATAAGTAATATTTTCTGGTATGTGTTTTTTGAGAGATCTTGGAATATAGCCCCTAAATTCATAACCTTCCTGACCCAGCCTTCTGAGTCCTGGGATTATGGGCATGGGCCACCACACAAAAATATCTCTTACTAAACAGGGCCGAGGATGTTCCTCAGTGTTAGAGAACTCTTGGTTTTGATCGTCAATACCGTTTTCTTAAAAAGTCAAAACTGAAAGTTCCCAAGTCTTCAAACATTCAGTATTACTGATCAGAAGTCTAAGCCAAGTCTCACTTTCTGTATTTTGTAGGTCAGTCAGAAGAATACCGCTATATTCTATATTCTATGACATTATCACCCTACCCCGCTCTGGAAACTTTGGAATTATGTTTAGGTTTGTGAATCTTTCTTTTCTCAAGATCAGCTTTCCCTTTCAACATAAAAGACAATGTTCCTCACCTCCACTATCTCTCCTCCCTTAAAAAATTTACTACATAGTTATTGAAACAACTGGATATATCCTCCATCACTCTATTTGGTTTTCTCAATATTTTTTATATTTATTTATTTATTTGGTACAGGGTCTCACTAGGCAACTCGGACGCATAGTGATCCTCCTGTCTCAGTCTCCCCACCACTGGGCTTACAAGCATGTGCCACCACATCTGGTTTCAGTGGCTAGCTCAGCACGGGGCTGGAGGTCAAACCTGGGTCCTTGAGCTTGCCAGGCAGGCACTTAGACCACCATGCTGTCTCCCCAGCCCTCACTTTCTCATTCTTAAAACTACACCTCCCTTTGAATGATGCCCTACAATGACTTCTTAGTCCAATCTTGTAGCTCATTAATTAACTCAATAACTATTCTGTTACTTTGTGTATTTCCCAAGATTTCCATTCTAGAGGTGATCGAGAAAACTTTATCTAAGGAATATGAGAATACTGTATTTTAAAATCTTCCTTGTTTTTCGCTCCAAGTAATCACAGCTATATATTCTGCAATTATATACTATCTACTCCTCGAAATCTTGAAGAAAAACAAATGATCAGCCAAGAGGGCAAACTGGTGTGTCAACTCCCAAAGACCCTTCATATTTGAATGTTAAGCCTTCCAATTATTCAGAAGCATTAGATCTGTATGTTTACCATTGTGTGTGTGTGGGGGGGGGGCGCGGTGAGATAGCTCAGTGGTCTAAGGCACCTGTTTAGGCAAGCTTAGGCAGGCATCGAGGACTGTGGTTTGATCCGCGGTACCATATGCCATGCCACCATGCGAGCCCTGTCCCCAGGGTGGGCTAAGCTGGCCACAAAAAAAAAAAAGACAGAGGATCAAAGAAGATTCCCAAAGAATCGACCTACTAGAGACCCTGAAAACTCCAATATTAAGAAATAAATTATGAATTTATTCTAATTATGCTGTAATTTTGCCTTCATAATTATTAGTCTGTACATTGGATTATTTTCCTGAATTCATGCACCTATAAAATTTAAATGGCAATGGAATACCCATCTCTGACAAAACTAAAATAAAACGGATACAAATGACCATTTTGTATCTGTATATACAAAATACTTAGGATAGACATACAGCTACTATCTCTTAATTCAAAAAGAAGGATTTGTACTAACAGTTTTTATTTAGACAGGATATCATGTCTACATCTTGTACTATGAATAACCACTACAAAGACAACAATATGCAATGTATTAATTATTGAAACTGTCGTATTAATCGGTTTTGAAACTTGTCTCATTGCTATTTACTTCTCAATAAAATTAAAAAATTGTAAGAAAAACAAATACACTAACAGAAGGATTAGAAAAAAAAATTATTAGTCTGTGTTTTTCTCCTTTTCCACATTTGTTAAGAAGTAGTATTTCACTCAGGATGTAGTTCAGTGGGAGAGAACATGCTTACCACACATGAGCCCCTGGATTCGATCTCTACCACAAAAAAATTCCCAATGTCATTCTCAGTTTAGATGAATGTAAACCTTTCCCAATATACAAGGTATGATCAAAATATGGTGAATGCTCAAAATTGTTTAAAAATTATTAAAGTAAAAGATGCACTGGAAAGCCAGGTGAGGTGGTACACACCTATAATCCTAGCACTTGGAAGGCTAAGGCAGGAGGATCATTGTGAGTTACAGACCTGCCTGGGCTACATAGTGAGCTCAAGGCCTGCCTGAACTGCAGAGTGAGACCCTATCTCAAAAAGACCAAAAAAAAAAAAAAAAAAAAAAAAAAAAAAAAGATATATTTGCATCAATACGTACAGTATTCCCTTGTTGCTCTGAACATACTTATCCCATTGTTCTTGTCACTTTCTGAAGCTGCTCTGGAAGTCCTCTTTCCTGAGGATCTTTATGAGATGTAATCAAACTACAATGCATGCTGCTGCTGTCACCCAGAAAAAGGCAGGCTCATAAAAACATGACATTGTGTCCTCTATCCACCTTATTTACCAGACTTGGCACTATGTAACTTCTGGCTCTTCCTCAAAGTTAAAACGATCATGAAAGATAAATGTTTTGAATCAGCTCAGGACATTGAGGCAGCCATGACACTGCAACTAATGATGAGAGAAGACTTTTAAGAACTACTTCAGAAAGCAGCAAGCATGGTGGGGTAGGTGTGTTTGAGGCTAGAGGGAAAATATTGAGGGAGACTAATGGAAATACAATTTTTACTGCAACAATTTAAAACAAAATTTTAAACATAGGGGGCAGGGGGATGGCTCAGTGGAATAAGCACTTCCCTGGCAAGCGCCAGGGCCTGAGTTCAATCCCTGGTTCCACAAAAAAAAAACATTTAAACATACCACATATTTCAATCATACCTCCTATAACATTATAAATAGTGGTAATATTTCTTATTAATAAATAGCTGTACATTAAACAACTGCAGAAGAAACACAAATACTCACATGCTGTAAGAGGAACAACTCCCAACCAAGCAAAGGCCACAAGTGTATAATGAAACCAATATCGTATTGCAGTACCAATACTTGTAACTAGCCCAGCAAATATGTCTTGGATAGGAAGCCGTGAAGGCATATCTGGGGAATAAACTAAAAGTGAAAAAAGAAAAAAAAATGTCATGAAGATTTCAAAATGGTTTAATTCATAGATATAAAATGAGCACATATAACTATCTTAACATTCAAAATAAGTACTATTTTAAAAAAAGTGACTCAAATAGTTAGAACACCATATTTACCCCAGGAAGTTACCTACGAAGCTATCACATGCAAGGCACGTGGGGGGTGGGCATCAGAGCAAGAAGAAGTATTCAGAAGAACTTCACATCCTTAGCTCATAACCATGAACCTCATGGCAACCAATGTACATGCTTAGCACTCAAACAATAAAGCAGTATAGTGATGTGGTCACCTGAGCTATTCAAGATCCAACAGGGGGAGGAGCAAAAAGTGAAGCTGATGGCATGTGACCAGGAATGAACTCCCAACAGGAACTCTGGACACAGCCCTCAAAGAGCCCAGCACCTGCAGCGAGGCCACTGCACATGAGAGCTACAGCCCACTATGGTCTGCCAGCCAGCCCTCCACACACCTGTAATACTACATTTAAAATTTCAAGTGAAAATTTCATCTCTTCCCATTTCTCTCTAAAATGTGCTTTAATAAACTTGGAGAATCGATAAATTTTGCAACAGTTTAGAAAAACATGACTTTAAAATGGTTTCATGAAAGCTACTTATTTTACGACTCCACCAGAGATTAAACAGACAAAACTATAGGAGAAACATTTTCCCTATGAGGCCAGACAAGGAATTATGATGCCTAAGGTTTCCAAATCAATTATCTACAATTTGTAAGAATACTGTCACAAAGCCATTCACATTTATATATGTTATAGAGTAAACAACAAATGGCAACTTCTTTTATTATAACCACTTAGATCACTGACTTCAGTACAATATTTTGTACAGAAAAGCAAGTCTTTAAACCAGTAGTGAGACTTTTTGAAAAAGGGAAGGGAAACAGCATATGAATGTCCAATCAACACTGAAGTATACAAAGTAAGGTTTTGTTGGCCTCAAAGTAAAAGCCCATATTATTTCCTATCAAACTTCATGAAAATTCAACTATTTAGTTTTAGTTTGTTATAAATCTTCAGCTGTACAGCTTTTATGTATAACAGAAAACCAAAGACTACAAATAACAAATCTGACATTTTTTGATGGCAAAGAATAAAGTTCTAAGAGTATAAATGTACTAACTTTAACCATTTACACTTTTCAAAATACAAAGTAAAATGCATAGTGATGCACACTTGTAATCCCAACACTAGGAAGGCTGAGACAGGAGGATCACTGTGAGTCTGAACTGCATAACAAGACCCTGTATCACACACCAAAAACAGTATCTATAATTAAAAGAAAAAAGTTTTCCTACACAACTTACATGTGTATGCTAAAAGATAACAGTATTTAAAAATATTTTCCTAAATGGAAGAAGATTTTCTACTATTATCAAAGAAAATAACAGATTAAGCACCTGCTTAGGCAAGTGCAGGGACTTGGTTTGCTCCCCAGAACTATAACCTATGGCACCCCCACCCCCCAGCCGCGCTGAGCCGCCTACCAAGTCCAGGCGTAGTGCCGCACACCTGTTAATGCCAGTGCTGGGGAAGCTGAAAGCAGGAAGATCACTATGAGTCTGAGCTACATAGTGAGACCTTGTACCAAATACATTAAAGGTAAAAAAAAAAAAAAAAAGGCAATAAAATTGAAAATAGCTTTAAAATTATTAAATACCTCTGACTGCTGGTAATACCCAAACTACCATAATGAAAACGCTGGAAGAACTTACTTGGTGTAAAAGCAAATCTGTGCTTGCATAATTCACAATATTCTTTTCGACTGTGTTTCAGCCACTGAACTAAGCTGTAATGACAAATACATTCATAAATGCAGTATTTAAAGAGATGGTAAGGCTTCACTGAAAACTAACATTCTGCTTTGATTAAAATCTTATGCATTAGAGCTGTGGGGGACTCAGGTCAATAATTTCTGACATTGCCAGTTAAACAGAAGACCCAATGCTGTTATGGGCTACGGGACTCTTTTAGAATATTTTGCTGAGTTTACACACCTATAATATTCAATAATGGAACTTAGAAAAAATGGGGTATACCGATGAATGTGCACTTTGTATCTGTGTATTCAAAGTGGTTAGGATAGATATATAGTTGCATTCTCTTAATGAATAGAATGATTTGTTCTAATGGTGTTTGTAAATAGGATCTCAAGTCCGCATCTTGTATAGCAATTAACCACTAAGAAGAATATATGCAGTGTGTTATTTGTTGAAACTGTACTTCCGATTTGATTTGAAACTGCCTCATTGCTATCTGTTTATCAATAAAATTTTGAAAAAAAAAATCTTATGCATTACAGAACTTTTACAGTTTTTACTGTTTCAAATCTGGAGTATTCTGACAATTTGATATTTGCAGCATTCTTTAATTTTTATAACTGCCTTCTAAGAACTTACATTAAAGACAACATGTACTACACCCTTTTACTAAAGGGTACAATAAATAAATGTAGTACCCTTTTACCAAAAGGGTACAATAAATCTAAGTTATAATCTCTTCAGAGCTAAGTAAGTATGACTGAATCCAAGCATTAACCTTCCCAGTTACTAGTCTGGTAACATGGCTGGTCATGTGGTGCAGGACAATATCTATGTCTATATTTTAGTTCCCTTCTGTGCACAACTCTCCACCTCAGTTTCCTTGCAAAGTTAAATGAGTTAAAAAGTATAAAAGCGCCGAGAGCTACACGTGGTAGTACATGCTTGTAAACCTAGCACTTGGGAGACTGAGATAAGAGGATCACTATGAGTTCATGGCCAGCCCAAACTACAGAGCGAAACACAAAACAAAACAAAATCACTAAGAATAATACTGATACAGAGTTCTATACTTCATAAAGTTAGGATAATATGCTACTCTAAATAGAAAAGCATAGCATGTCCCATGGACAGAATCTTCACAATAAACCACTTCAGTAAGCACAGCATTAACAATTATGAATAATGTATTTCCCATACTTTTACAAATTCTAAAAGTAATTATGCAACAATTTCCTTAAAATGATCATTCTTATTACATAGATGACAAAACTGAAGCTCAGCATCAGGGTTTTCTAGAAGTATGACTTACCATTCTTGATGGATAAACTTAATACTGCCAGTACATACACAAGGGTGATAAAGAGGTTTCTCGGGTGTTCCTTCTGACCGACACACTCTACATATGTCTGTTAAGGAGAAAGAAAAACAATTAATTCAGTTAGAATTTTTTTTTCTTCAGTACTGGGAACTGAACTCAGGACCCTGTGCTCTGGCAAGCACTTATTCTACTGAACGATCTCCCCAGCCCACTGAGCTTTCTTCTCAGCCCTTGAGCTATCTTCCCAGCCCAACTTTTTTTAAAAAACAGACCACCAGGTCCAGAGATATAGCTTAGTGGTACAGTGCATGCCCGGCAAGTGTGAGGTCCTGAGTTTGATTCCCAGTACCAAAAAACAAAACAAAACAACAACAAAAAAACCCAAATACTAAAGTATTTTATGTTAACACAACAATGTCCCTTGGAAAAACATTAATCAGCAGCACAAAAACTAAAAATTGTGATTTAAATTTTATGTGTATAACAAACTAAAACCAGTTTCTTTTAAAAGTAACACAAAATTTTTCTTAAACTAGAACTCTAGGAAGCTAAAAATAAAAAGGTTTTATTTAAAACTGTACTCTCTCATAACAAATACTAAATGAATTTAGACTCATACCCAGTTCTAAAATCCAGTCCCCGGGGCCAGGGATATAGCTTAGTGGCACAGTGCATGCCTGGCAAGCTCAGTAGAATAAGTGCCTGCCTGGCAAGCGCAGGGTCCTGAGCTCAATCCCTGGTACCACAAAAAATAAATTAATTAATTAATTAAGTAATTAAAAAAAAATCCAGTCCCAACAGTTGAGCAATTTAAGACACAGGACTGATAGTTTAAACTATACATATATGCACCACACTGAGGATTTAATATGGATCAACAGTGGGGGAACATTGTACACACCACCTTCTACATCTCAACTACAGGACAAAAACACATAAAAACATGGAGGAAAGACAGCCTTGTTAATAAATGGTGATGGTAAAATTGGATCGTCACATGCAGAAGATTTGAGTTTAGATCCATATATCTCACCATTTACTAAACAAATCAACATGAGTCAAAGATCTAAACGTTAAAACTGACACATTAAAACTACTGGAAGATAAAATAGGTAAAACTCTTTTTTTTTAATATTTATTTATTTTTATTTATTACATTTATTTATTGTGTGTGTGTGTGGCCAGCTCAGCCCACCAGGGGGCGGGTCTGGCTGGCATGTGGTGCTGGGGATCGAACCGAGGTCCCTGTGCTTTGCCAAGTTTGTTTCAAGTAGGTGCTTTAGACCACTGAGCCATCTCTCCAGCCCCAATAGGTAAAACTCTTGAAGACATAGGCATAGGTCTATGAATCCACAAATTGGATCATATAAACTCAAGGCCTTCTGCACAGCAAAGGAAATCAAGAGACTGGGGGGGGGGGTACCCAACCTACAGAATGGGAAAAAAAAAAAAAATTGCCAGCTACTCCTCAGACAGAGGACTAACACCCACAACACATAAAGAACTCAAAAAATAGCTCTGGGCTGATGAGATAGCTCAGCAGTCTAAAGCACCTGCTTAAGCAAGCTCAGGCAAGTGCACAGGGACCAAGGTTCAATCCCAGGCATCAAATGCCACTCCAGCCCCGCCCCCCAGGGTGGACTGAGCCTGCCACAGAAAAAAAAAGACCCTCAAAATAAAAGACCAAATCAAAAAATGGACAAAGTGAATAGACACTTCTTAGAAGTACAGATGGCCAATACATTAAAAAGAAAAAAAAAAAAAGTTCAGTGTCACTGGCCATGAGACAAATGGAAATTAAAACAACACTGACATTCCAACTTACTCCAGAGAGAATGCTATTATCAAGAAATCAAAGCTGGGCGTGGTGGTGCATGCCTATAGTCCCAGCACTCAGGAGGCTGAGCAGGAGCATCACCGTGAGTTTGAGGCCACCCTCAGCTATATGCAATTCAAGACCAGTCTGCACTACATAGTGACACCCTGTCTCAGAAAAGGAAAAGAAGAAAAAAATCAGTAACAAGCACTGGCAACCTTGAAAGGAAAAATAAACTTTTACACAGTTGGTAGGAATGTAAACTAGTACAACCACTATAGAGATCAGTCTGGAGACTTCTCAAAAAAACCGATTAAAAATCCCACTTGAACTAGCTAATTCCCCTTCTAGGAATCTTCCTGAAAGAGTTAAAGTCATCATATTAATTACAGTAATCCATGCATATCCCTGTTTACAGCAGCACAACTTACAAAAGCTAGAGCTTGGAAACAGCCTACATCCCCATCAATGGGCTGAATGGATAGAGGAAGTGTGTTACACACGCGCAATGGCATGCTCCCCTGCTCTAAGGGACAAGCCGAGGCACGTACAGGTGGATGGGTGCAGCTAGGGGCCATGGCATGAGGTGAAGCACATGCCTCACCAAGTTCACGTGCTGCATCGCTTGTTCTGTGAGTATCCCAAAGTATAAAGAAACAGCAAGATAAAGGACAGACAACAGGAAATAAGGAGATCATTTTCAAATGGAAAAGGGAACAAGTGAGAGAGGGATGGGGGAGGGAAAAGAGAGTTCAAAAAAATGGATGTTGGGCTTTTTCAAATGGGAAAAGTTGGAGGATCAGGAAAGAGACAAAAAAAGATGTGCTATGAACAAACTCCCCAATATAAATATTATGTACTGCAAACATGTACCAATAAAAAAATTAAAAATATAAAAGCATGCATCGTGATTAAGGATAGAAAAGCACCCCAAGACCTTGAAGACTGCAGGTCCAAGACAGGTGAATCAGAAGCAGCCTTATGCAGAGGCAGATAGAGGCATGGAGCTAAAGATCAGCTGCTCTTCAGAGTACAGCAGCTTGTCCCTCTCCCCAGCACCAAGTGGCTCAAGACACAGCCGTCTGCCTGAGGAAAACCTACAAGTGACCCTTTGCACTTGCTCCTGAAAGCTACCCCACAGGCCCATCTGGTTACGTCATTCGTTTGGTCTTCTCAGCTATCCTATTCCCTGGCTATACTTGCCGTGTGTATCCCGAGGTGCTGATCAAAGGGGACTGCAAAGTGTACCCAAGGGGCCAAGACTTAACACTTTTCATCTACTCTCTTGCAGGGAATTGATCATGGTGAAGAAAATATGCAACCCTAATCTCCCAGTGGACTTAACTGGTCACCTGCACACTTGAGATTAGGGTGCAGCAGCTGAGCAGCATGGTACATAGTCCTGGACACTTACAATTATCACAGGTTTATGGCTACTCAATATTGGGAGACACATATTACTGTCAAAGCTGAGGGATACAAAGTGCTCAGGGTCATCTGACTGGTTATGCCACTCTGCTAGTTATCAATTAAGCAGACAAATTTCTCACCAACATTGAACAGTTACAAGCCCCTTGTGCATGGAAGAGCTGTCAATGAGCCAACCATGTCTATGGTGAATCTGAGGTGGTCACTCATGCTGACTGAAAGCAACCTTGGCCTCTTCTCTCGCCTTCCACACTCTGTTTTTGAATTACACTCGGCCCCTTCCACCACCCAAAGTGTGTGGTTTTTTTCCTAGAAGCTGCCAGGGGGATAATGCCACAATGGGCATCACCACTGTTTATGGGCAGAACTACACAAGATCTGAAAGTCTTAAAATCTCTCACTTCTATCTTCACCCTTGATTAATGACAACATTCTTGGCAACTTTACTTTTGCAATCCACAATCCCAAGCCACATCCAGCAGTCACACAGTCCACAACTGCTTTGTGCTCTCTCCACATGCACATTCAGTCCCAAGAAAACAAAGACTACTTTGAGGGTACTAAGGGGCAGAAGGCGGGCTCTCCTTTCAGCTGGATCTTTCCCTGTACCTGAGATCCTAGTGCAGTTTATCTGCAGCAGATTCACTGTACAGCACCGAAGCTGGGCTGGGGATATAGCTCAGTGGTACAGCGTAAGTCTGGTATGCAAAACTAGAATTACTATGGACACCAGCCAGTACCATCTCCTCTAAAAGATTTGAACTGCCCATTCCAAGTCCAAGAGATGGGGGAAAAAGGGAGACGCAAAGGGAAGTTAAAAAAAAAAAATTACTATGTATATGTACCAACTCCCCATGATGGGCATAATCATTATGTGCTCCAAACACATATTAACAGAACTTTTTAAAATTCAAAAATAAGGGCCAGCCAAATAGCTCAGCGGATTAAAGCACCTGCAAGCAGGCACAGGGGAGGGGCCACGGATTCGATCCCCAGCAAATAAGACTGGCCATGGTGGTGCACACCTGTAATCCCAACTCTTGGAAGCTGTAAACAGGCAGATCACTACAAGTCACATCTAGTAGTGAGACCCTGAACACCGTGTAGACCTTTCCCTAAAAAAATAAAAAATAACATAAAATTCAAAACTGGCCAAGTGTGGTGGTGCACACCTGTAACCCCAGCATTCAGGAGGCTGAGGCAGGAAGACTGTCCCAAGTTTGAGACCAGCCTAGGCTACAAAGTGAGCTCAGAGCTAGCCTGAGTAGCATAGTGAGACCTGTCACAAAAAGATCAAATAAATAAATTATAAATTTAAAAATAAATAACATTGATTCCAATTCCAGGGCCCCAAAGTCCCATATTAATTGGGCATGGTAGTACATGCCTGTAATCCCAGCACTGAGCAGGCAGAGGCAGTAGGACTATAACTTCAAGTCCCACCTGAGCAGCTCAGGGGAGACTCTGTTTCAAAATAGAAAACAAAAAGGGCTGGGGACATAACAATGGTAGAAAACTCCTGGGTTCAATCCCCAGTGCTACTTTAAAAAACAACAAGGGCCAGGGAGATGGCTCAGTAGAATAAGCACTTGCCTGGCATGCCCAAGGGCCTGAGTTCAATCCCCAGTTTCACCAAAAAAAAAAAAAAAAAAAAGGGTTCTTTTCTTCACTGCCCTGTGTGGAGCGAGGAATCTGCATGCCTCTCTTCCTTACATGGAGTTTTCAGCTTATTACCATCCCCTTCCCATTACCAAAACTACCATCGCTACCGCCTGGATTTTAGGGCACCACTGTCTACACAGTAGGACTGTCTCCTAAAGATAGCACCAGGCATCTCACTGATC